GTTTAGTTTAGTTTAGTTTAGTTTAGTTTAGTTAGTAGGTAGTCGTAGTAGTAGTAGTTGTTGTTGTTGTTGTTGTTGTAGTTGTAGTTGTTGTTGTTGTTGTTGTTGCTGTTGGTGTTGTTGTTGTCGTAGGAGTGTAGCAGCAGCCGCCTACTAGGACCTGAAATCCCAAACTCATTTGCGAAGTCCCCCGTCCGGTCAGATTGAAAAACCGGAAGCTCCTTTCCATCCTAGTCCATACAGGGTAAGGAATCCCGAAGGAAGAGCCGAAAACACGTGCAGAACCTCTTGAAAGACGCTGCAGCCCTTCGCGTTGACCTTTCAAAGTTCCCGAAGTCCCTGCAGGCCTGTACCGTGTGTTCGCGATCGGGCCGAAATCGTACCGCTTCTTCGGCCACTTGGGGATGTTGCCCAAACTGGGTCGCGGGCTTGGAGCTTAGGCAGTCACTGTCGAGGCCCCGGAATCCACAGGCACAAACAACGCTATTACACCGATTACCGGTAAACAAGCAGCCCACACTCACAAACCCTAAACCCTCAACCGTAAAGCCACAGTGCACAAGCCGTGGCCGACGAACACCCAGGGCCTCCAAGTTTCTGGCATGAGGGCTCTGTTGAGGCATCAGAATTTTCACTGGTAATAAGGACCTTAATAATTGGAATATGGTTTTGGAGTACATCATACCCATTATACTATAACTATACCTAGTGTAAGGAACCCCCCCAAAAAAAAATCGTATCGGTGATTATTTAGGCTCCTACACTATTGCTTCAGAAACCCTCAACCCTGGAACTCCTCAACCCCAAAAGCCCCAAACCCGAACCTAACCCTGAACAGCCCATGTATCTGCCCGGAACCCACTTCACTGCAGATTGACGGTTACATCCCTAGAACAACCCAAAGCCCAAACTCGAAAATCGCACCTTAAGCCCTGTATACATTCTAGAAACCGTGAAGATGAGATGAAGGCCCTCAGAAACGTTAAAGCTGAGATGAAGGCTCGGAATAAGTGGTCGTGTGGTGCGGCTTGTAGGCCTTCCATGTGCTTTCAACTCACTCAGGCTCTGATTCAGGGACGCTGTGGTTTGCTAGCTTTACACCAACACTGCGTGGATATGTGTTTCTTTTGCTTTGGCTGTGGAGGTTCCGGGTATTTCGGGTTGCGTGGCTGTTTTCTGTGACATGAATTTGGCAAACACTTGAAATAAATTCGGATTTCTGTGCTCGATTCCTGGGCTGTTCGAGCAAAGCTACAGAATGACAAACGGAGAGTTTACCACTCATGAGGTATCACTGAATCAAGCAGCGCTGTTTGATTTTTAGAGAAGGCTTCTTTGCATGCCGCGCTTCAATATCTGCCGGCCCAACCCCAGCCTTACGGGTATAATTCACCTCTAGAACAGTAGGTTATTCCCCCTAGACCCCAAACCCTAAACCCTAAACCCTAGACACCAAACCTGAAGCTCTAGAACAGTAGTCTGTTGGATCCGCCAGTCTTGCTTCATTGAGGTGTTGGGCTCTCTGAGTGAAGCAGGCAGCCAGGCATTGGGGGATTTTTGGGTTCAAGAGCTTGGGTTCAAAAAGGAGCCTGGATAATGAAACTGTGTGGTTGCGGCAGAATATCATGGTGCTATAAGTACACATGGACTCTGAGCACGTTGTTTACCACTTCAGTCACCACTTGTAGAGTTTAAGGGCATTCTGTAGGCTGAAGCTTCTGCTGCTGAAGCACCACTGCAGGACTGCCGTTCATGGGCCTCTGCTGCAGCCCACGGTACTTGAAGGCTAACGGATAGGTGTGCATAGCAGTACTCCCTAGACCCTAAACCCTAAACCCTAAACCCTAAGCCGCAGTACAAGTGAAGTTATGATCAAGGACATCCACAGACCTTGCAGCTTCAAGGTATAACCCACCTACCCCAAGACCCCGCCTTCTTACGTGCCTGGAGAAGCAATTCATAGGGAGGAAGCTTAAGCACCTATAGTAAGCCCCAAAAAGTTGGAAACCGGATAAAGGACAAATGGTGCTGGGGTTCCCTATACATCACTCTCCTATCCTCTACTGTGACCCTTCCCTGTCTCCAGGCCTTGATTCCCAGACAGCAGTCACCCTCTTGAGACTTCACGGCCTGTAGGTTTCAGGCTAAGGCTCCGGGCCTAAACATCCAGTAGAAGAGTGATCTAGGTGATCCAATTCGTGTTTAGGGCAGTTTACGGTCTCACCCTGGGGCTCGACTTGCTGCACTACAAGGTTACGGGATGCATCGCAACCTACATTTTAGGATACTGAGCCCACTACATTTTAGGATACTGAGTTCAGCTTGAGGACTTGTCCGAAGGGCAACCCCCTAGGCCCCAACACCGTTCCATTATGGTTGTGGTTTCAGGATTTACGGCTGAGGGGCCCGAAAACTAAAACCATCTAAAACCCAAACCCATCGGGCCAGCTCGGTGAGTGCATTGCAAACCATCCGGAGACGTTTGAAAGGGCTTTGGATCAGGCGCAGTGTTGAAGAGATTCAAGATTCCTAGACTACGTATACCCCTAAACCCTAAACCGTATACCCTAAACCCTGAAAGAATTTAGGGCATGAGGTTTAGGGTGCCACGGTTTATGGCATAGGGTTTAGGTCCGGGGTTTAGGGTGTAGGGTTAAAGGTTCCGGGGTCCAGACTCAAAAGAGATTGGGCTTCGGGGTTTCATTCAGTTGAAGGCGTCCGTCAGCGCGCCCCGGGAGACCCCAATACCATAAACCCTTCTTTGGGGTTTAGGGTTTTGGGTTTAGGGTTTAGGGTTTCCCCGGGAGACCCCAATACCATAAACCCTCCAATGCGAATGCTGGGATTTACACGCGTCGATGTAGGTTCTGTAGGGCTTTAGAAAGGCTTTGGATGGGTTTGCAGGCTTGTCAATTGAGAATATGCAAAGCCTACTACGACGCCCTAGATGAGTTAAGGACTCGGACTGTTCCATAATGAGGGGTTGCAGAATTGGAGATTTTCTTAGGCCAGGGCTCATGCTGCCTTAAACCCTAAAACCTAACTAAAGCTTAAACCCTAAAACCTCACTAAAGCTTAAACCCTAAAGCCTAACTAAAGCTAAAACCCTAAAACCTAACTGAAGCTTAAACCCTAAAGCCTAACTAAAGCTTAAACCCCAAAACCTAACTGAAGCTTAAACCCTAAAGCCTAACTAAACCCTAAACATCCCTAAACCCTAAACCCTAAAACTTAAACCCTAAAGCCTAACTGAAGCTTAAACCCAAAAACATCACTAAAGCTTAAACCCTAAAACCTAACTGAAGCTTAAACCCTAAAGCCTAACTAAACCCTAAACCCTAAAACTTAAACCCTAAAACCTAAACATCCCTAAAACCTAAGCCCAAAAATCCCTAAACCTAAAACCCTAAACATCCCTAAACCCTAAAACCTTAAACCCGAAATCCTTAAACCCTAACTACCCTAAAACCTAAAACCCAAAAACCTCACTAAAGCTTGAACCCTAAAACCTAAACCCAAAAACCTTAAACCCAAAAACCTAAACATCCCTAAAACCTAAACCCTAAATCCTCACTAAACCCTAAACCCTAAAACTTAAACCCAAAAACCTAAACATCCCTAAAACCTAAACCCAAAAACCTCACTAAAGCTTGAACCCTTAACCCTAAACATCCCTAAACCTTAAACCCTAAAAACATCCCTAAGCCCTAGACATCCCTAAAGCCTAAAACCTTAAACCCTAAAACCTAACTAAACCTAAACCCAAAAACCTCGCTGAGCCTCAAGGTCTGGAGAGTCAAAGAAGATTTTCTGCGAGGCGAAGTGGTGCTTCAGCGGAGCGCCCACCTCCTTCGGAAGGGGCTTTTTGTTTTGTAGGTTTAGGGTTGAGGGCGGTTAGGGTTTAGGGTTTAGGGTTTAGGGCGGTAGGGTTTAGGGTTTAGGGTTAATTTTGTAGGTTTAGGGTTTGGGGTTTATGCCTTAAACTACCATAAGATTTTGTAGGTTTAGGGTCTAGGGCCTAGGGTTTATACCTTGAAAACTACCAGAGGCTCGCTTTTTCGTAGTTCCTTCTTCTAAACCCTAGCAAGGGCTTTCCTTGTAGGGCTGAGTGTCCCTGATCCGGTTCCTTTAGAGGCTCCCTTTATTCACGAAGGATAAGGATTTAGGGTTTAGGGTTTAGGGTTTAGGGTTTAGGGTTTAGGGTTCAGGGAGGGGCCGCGGTAGTTCGTGTTTTCAAGGTGAAGGACTTTAGGGTGTTTGCGGGGCTGCAGGGATTACAGGTTTAATGGGTTTCAAGGGATTCAAGAGGGGTTTAAAAAGGGGCTTGGGGCTTTAAGGGGTTTCGGTCCAAAAACAGTTCGGGCCGGCAGTCCTGGTGGGTGAAGTTCTGGTACTCGCCAAGCTCAGAGAGCGTGCTCTTGTGGAAAGGACCCTGGCCGAATACGCCCTTGACACTCCCATGGTCCCCTCTATGCTGAGAGTCCTGTAATAAACCCCGGTACCCCGCTTTAAGCCAAGGCGCTTTAATGTACCCCGATGGGCTGTTCTAGCCAAGGCCCCACATTCCCCTTAATGCAGGGAAGTCTGGATGCCGGGTAAGAGTTCCTACAGCATCTGCCGTAAAGCTGGAAGCGCACTGTCCTCAGTCATGCCCAAGAAGAGAAATTCTGAAGGAATCCCAGCACTAACTAACCTTTCTTGCCCATGTGCACACAGTCTTTTCACCTTGGACTTCCCGGAGGGTTAGGCATAAGAAACCCGCACATGTCCCACAACTCACTGGCAAAGCCAGCGCCTGGCCAGGCAACATGCCGGAACCCGGTGCAGTTTCGGATAGTGCGGATGAGGATTCAGGGAGTAGCCTTGTGCGTCCTAACTTCTAGAACTCCGAATGGTCCAGTCAAAGCTGCTCCCCTCACCTGGCCTAAACACTACATCTTAAACCCTAAACCCGAAATCCTGAACCCTAAATCCTACATCCTAAACCCTAAACCATAAGAAATATTTCTAAAACCTACATCCTAAAATCCTAACCCCCGAATCCTAAACCCCAAACCCTAAACTCTGAGTCCTAAACCCTGTAAGCCCTAAACCCTCAAGCCTATGAATCAGTTCTAAACCCTACATCCCAAACCCTATAAATCAAATCTAGACCCTAAACCCTAAACCCTAAACCCTGTAAGCCCTAAACCTGGCCTTCCCGAGGATGCCCGAGGACAGGTCGCCCTCCTGCCTCTTGAAGCTCCTGTCCGCCTCTCGGGGTTCAGGCTTAGAAGTTTGGGGTTTAGGGTTTAGGTTTCAGGGTTTAGGGTTTAGGGTTTAGGTTTTAGGGTTTTGGGGTTTAGGGGTTTGGGGGTTAGGGTTTAGGGTTTAGGGGTTTGGGGGCTAGGGTTTAGGGTTCCTGTCCTCCTCTTGAGGGTTCTAGGGCTTTACCTTTTTGTCGGGTCCCTATCAATTCCATGTTATAGGGCTTGTGGTAAGGACCTGCAAAAACCAATAGGTCATGGTAGGTTAAGATAGGGAACAAGGGCTCCAGGCCCCTAACGGTTCGGCTTAGTTCTCTGCCCCTTTTCTTCGGACTGCTGTAAGTAGCTCTCTACAAGCTGCAGGCCGTGATCCCTGGCTGTACCGAACGACAGTGCCAGAGCCACCACGAAATCTTTACACCCCTTGAGGGTACTCCGGCGCCGGAAGTCTGAGACCTGATTCCATAGTTAGGGTTTAGGGTTTAGGGTTTAGAGTTTAGGGTTTAGGGTTTAGGGTTTAGGGTTTAGAGTTTAGGGTTCAGGGTTTAGAATCGAGGGTTTAGGGTTTAGGCAGTTGCACTCACCCAGACCCTGAACACGGAAGGGGCCTTAATAATTAGAATTGGGTTTTGGGCCCATGATACTGTATTCATACTAAGGAACCCCCCCAAAATATTGTAGGCAATTTTTTTAGGCCCTTAAAGACTTGCCCCAACCCGTGAGCACCCCGGGCCCGCCTCCGGTACCCGGGCATCTCGATTCAGCTCAGCTGCTGCAACGACCACCCTTCCAGCTGCTTTGTCGTTTTCAAACACTGTTTCAGGTTTAGGGCTTCGGGCATTCCCCAAACCCCAAACCCTAAGCCCTAAACCCTAAACCCAAAGCCCTAAGCCCTAAAACCTAGACCCCAAGCCCTAAGCCCTAAACCTGGGGTGGTCCCGGGGAGCTCGGAGCTCTTGGGCACCGCTGCAGGGCTCAAGATCATCAGATAATCCACGACCGTGATCTGCTTACAAGTGCAGTGGTTGTGGACAACCGCGGAAGGGAAACCCTAAACCCGAAACCCCTAAACCCTAAACCCTAAACCCTAAGACAAAGGCTTCCCGGCAGGATGTTTCTGCCGTTCCCGGCGGCGTGCTGAAGGTCTCTGTCAAGCTGCCGCAGCCTCCCTCGGCTCTATTATGCAGGTAGATATGATAAGTAGCGGTAGGTAGAAGAAGGTGTAGGCACGTGTAAGTATAGGAGTAAGTGTAGGTGTAGGTACGAATAGGCACAGGAACAGGAACAGGAATAGGGATAGGTGTTGTTGCAGGCGGGTAGGTAGGCCTGACGTGATGCTTTCACCCACACCGAAAGCCACCAAGCCTTGAGCCCGCAAAACCGGTAAGCCCCATTTTGCTGCGGAAGGCTGAAAGGGCCACGTCATGAAAGCGTGAACCCGTCACGCAACCACCTAAATTAACACGGACCAAGACGGAACCTCACCGTGTCCAAACCTTCCCCCTAAACCCTGACCCTGAACCCGTAACGCCAAGAATCCAAAAAGAGCCCAAGATCTGGCCTGCCACGGTATTTTACCCGAAGAACCCGAATAGTTTCGTTCCGTCCAAAGGGCGCCTTATTACCCCTGCCCATCCAGCTGAGCAAACGCAAGGCCACGAGGCCAGGAGATCATAGAGTAGGGTGTAGGGTTTAGGGATTAGGGTGTAGGGTTTAGGGTGTAGGGTTTAGGGTGTAGGGTTTAGAGCGTCGGGTTTAGGGTTCAGGGGTTGAGGGGTTTAGGAATCTAGAGTTGAGGCTTTGGTCTCAAGCCGTGCTTTTCAACTTGAACTCTTCCCGAGAAAGCCCCACTGCCTCATACCTGGGGGCGAGTATCGGGTTTCATTCGGCTTTACAAGGCTCTACTCAGGTGTATGAAGGGCTTGAAGACCCGGATACTCCTCGAAACCCAATGATTCAACCCTAAACCCTAAACCCTAAACCCCTAAACCCTAAACCCCTAAACCCCTAAACCCCTAAACCCCTAAACCCCTAAACCCCTAAACCCCTAAACCCTAATCTTAAGCCCTAATCTTGTAGGAAGATTCCTCTCCAAAGTGAGAAGCTTCGGATCCAAGTCTCGACCTTTCCTCAACCCAGAAACGCAAGGGTTCTCTAAGGTAGGGTTTAGGGTTTAGGGTTTAGGGTTTAGGGTTTAGGGTTTAGGGTTTAGGGTAGAGACCCGTTTGGCATCGCCCAAACTTATTACAGGCTTTTCATGAGAGACTAAACTGTGAGCGCTAATTTTCAGAGTTGATATAGCGGCCTCAAACATTAGAATGTAGGGCTTGGGGCAAAATCGTGTTAGAGTTGCCTCGAGAAACCCTCTGGAATAACATTGGCTCTTCTTCAGGCCCCTGTATTCGCCAAATTAGAACTTCACGCAGTGGCCTCGGCCTGTCTCCCATGTCCACCTGCGTGCTTTTCAGACAAAACCAGACACGATCCTGCTGGGTAAAACCGGACCTTTAGACACTAAAGAAGCTCTAGTACAAATCCGAATTCCGAAGGTGACTGCAGGACAACAGGGGGCTATCTGGTGATTTTAGTGGCCTTATGATCCTGGTGTGTTGCAGGGAAGCAGTGCCTATCCTATCGGTGCTTTAATCTAATGATTACAATAAGGGTATTGGAGAATATTCTGCCACTACAACTATAACAAGGAACCCTCTGGAATAGCACAGATAACTATTCAGACCTCTCTCTCTCTCTCTTTCTACATACATACATACATACATACATACATACATACATACATACATACATGCATACATACATACATATATATATATATATATAGTAGAGTTTGTGCTTGTGAGTCCGGCTTCTGTGCTGCTCTAGCGTCGGGAGGCGACTCTCCCAGGTACACAGCTTCAAGTCTTTACTTTGCTGTCAGGGGCCCGAGATTGAGCCTATGCTAGGGGGGGGCGGTCGGATGGAATGTGGGTAGTTTTCAATATTAGGGTCCGTTTTAGGGTCCTTTTTAATAAGGGTGCCGAACTATATTGGGGACCTAAAACGGGACCCTAATTTAGAGAACTGCCCATATACAAAGAGGAGCTATCCAAGGATCAGCTTTGTCGACTATGGCTCTCCCATGCTTCGAATCCGGAGTTGGTTTAGGGTTTAGGGTTTAGGGGTGGTCGGATGGAGTGTAGATGAGGTTGATCATTTTGTCGGAGTGGGCATCCCTGCCTTCCAAGCCTCGAAACCCCAACAGCAACCGAACCATGAACCGCTTTCCCAAGCGGGTGGCTTAAGGGTCATGCATTGGGTGCTATGCCATGGCCTCAGCTCCCTGATGATCGCATCTTGATTCTGGGGGTGTGGGGCTGAGGGGTGCATTTGACTCTTAGTGGTGTTTTGGGCTGCTTCGACATAATCCTGCGCTACCTCCAGGACCCGATGAGACTTAATGGATGCTTCTTATCATGGGTGCTGCAGGATTTTGTCCATCAGCAGTAGTAGGACCCTTCTACGATATGCGTCGCAAGAGACCTCTACTTTTCAGTGGTGTTAACGCTGGCTATACCAGAGGGATCTTAGAAGGAACGGGTAGCATGGGAGCATGCAAGTAAAACCTGAGACCACACTGCCCCCAAGAAGCTCAAACCTTGTGCCCTCCACACAAATACAGCCTCTCAGCCTCAGTGTAAAGAAACAACGCAAACAACCAGCTGTTTTAGGCTACGATGTTCAAGGTATGAGTACGAAGCGCTTTAAGAATACCTAGATAGGAGCACAGAAAACCTTGAACTCTAGATCCCAAAAGCCACCCTAAACCCTAATTCAACGACAATCCTCCCGACATTTGTTGCCTGGCCCAGGCTGTGGGACGTCGCATAAAAGTGCGGCACTGACCTGGGCAACAAGGGCTTAGGGTTGGGGCTTCAGAATTTTAGGGTTTATAGGCTTTAGGGTTTAAGGTGTTTAGGGCTTTAGGGTTTAGGGCTTCGGGTTTAGAACCCTAAACCTCAAATCCCACAACCCAAAAATTGGCGCTCAAGGGGGTCAATTTGGGGCTCAGGGGGGGCAGGGACCCAAAACTTTTAAACCTCAAACCGCAGCAAACAAAAAAAACACAGTTTTACCGAGCCCAGGCTCTGGAGCGTTGCCACATGGGAGTTTCCGAAAATAAGGGCGACCTTATCTTGGGGGTAGGGGGTCCTTATAATAAGGATCCTACTATTTAGGGTACCATATTAGGGCCCCCTATTTATGGAAACCCCCCACATCAAGGCAACATCAGGTTTACAGGTCTCATGCTTGAACTTGGAGGCCGGGTGCTTTGGGGGGGGTGCTTTATATGTTCCAGGCTTCCTGCTTGCTTTAGATGCTGATCTTGTTCGATTTGGGCTGCAGGGTTTGGCCTTGTGGTTGGGCTACCGCTGTTGTTTAGGGTGTAGGGTTGTTGGGCCTATAGTTCGCGAAACACAAAAAGATCTGAAGTACACATCCCGGCGCTTATGTCGGATTTGCACGCAGTATTGCTTCGGGCTTGAAACCATCGTTGCCTAAATAATAAAAGACTCTTTCAAAGCTAAAGGGCTGAGGGTTCCTGTTTGAACCTCAAACCTAATGTAGGGGCCGTAATAATTAGGATGTGGTTTCGGGGCCCACTATACTATAATTAGAATAAGGAACCCCCAAGTAGTATAGGTAAATTTTTAGGCCCCCTATGTTATTTCGGAGCCTCATTGGCTCCTCCTCTAGTTCGTCAGAAATCCCTGTGTATGGCTGGCTCAAATATAACATACTAACATACCTGCCAACCCATCATAAGAGACACGACACACCCGCAGCATGAAAGCCAAAGACTTCCCGAACAAGGACCCCGCCCCCGGATTCCGCACGTATGATCCCCGGGGCCAGCATGCAAATCTGCATCGCCTTGGTTAAAGGAAACTACAGGTGGGGAGTTTAGTAAAGCATATAGACCTTCTATAAGGCTCCTATATCGGTAACTACCCACCTGAAAATGTCCTAGACTTGGGAGGAGGACGATTAGGGTATTGATAAGGAACGACCACCAGCATCCTAGGGCCAAATGCGACTCCCTAAACTGAAACAAGGTTTCGAAGTGTATAATCCCACAAGCATGTACAGACAAAATAAGGCATCTGCGGATTAAGTATAAGGGGGATATCAGGACCCCCATGGACGAACTATAAGGGGTTATGGGAGATGTATAGGTCTTGTGAAGGCTTACGGCTCAGGGGGTTTAGGGTTCAGGGAGGTTGAGGGTTGACGGTTTATTGGGTGTCAACCGAAGTCTTGACTACGTACGGGTTTACGGCGATGTTGATCCTTTGGGCTACGGCTCATTGTAGCCTTTCTGGTGCCTGCCTGCATGCATGTCTGGTGCAGGAGCGAAGGATTCGGATATTGTGGCAGCCACAAGCACTCAAACTTGTCGCACTTAGGCTCACGTAGCCTAGACCCGGGAACCTCACCCCATAAACCCCGAAACCCAAGCCCGAAGAATTGATACATATTGATACCCCCCTAGGCCATGGCTTTGCACTGAGGCCAGACAGCTGATAGGCCCTAGGCCGAAGCATCGGAGAACACAGCTTTGCTAGGTAGCCTCCTGTTCCAACGTCTCGAAGTCTACTCGGACAGCGGGCATATCGCGATCTGATGAGCGCTTGAAGTTAGATGACCGCTTGAAGCCTGATTCCCGGAATGGTGAACCAACAGCACCTGGCTTCAACCTCAATGCCTTGAGGCCCGCTATCCCCGAATTCCCTGCACCTTAGAAGAAAGCCATGTAAAGCAGCTAATCGTGTTAAAGAACCATGCAAAACAAGTCTATGCATAAATATTTTAATGCACCATCCTCCCAACTGCCAAGCCTAAACCCTCGATTGACTGCTGCTGACATGGAGCATGGACCCCTTGGTACGCCGATGCGTGCATTCTCCTCGGCCCTGGCAAATACGGCTCTTGCACGTGGGGTAAGTACGGCTACTAGGGCTCCAGTTACCTAAATCATTACTGGGTTGCATATATGTGGTTAGAAGCCTACTATTTAAGTAGCTGGAGCTCTGGGGGTATGCAAAAGTACGGACAAACGGTATACGTATACCATAAACCAATACAGAACTTCTGTTGCCTACTGGAGGCTTCCTGTCTTGAGCCTAACTGGTTCATGACTTCATATGAAAACACAGACCGTGATTGCTGTGAAGGCCCGACTTATCTCTGCGCGCCATTGGAGGACACCAGAGACCGTGATTGGACCATCCAATCATGTAGCGCTTTGTCAATCTAGTCATCTCGCACTGAGGAGGCAAGACTCCTGCCTGAAAAAAGCGCCGTCCTACTGCCACAACTGCCCTCTGAACGGATGTACCAACCATGAGAATGCGGCACCGCAAGTTGAAATGGAACGACAAGCACCCAGGGTCAAGTTTCACCTGCGTCCATGCACCGTTGGATGTGCCAGACACCCTCTCCATGAGCTTGCCACATGTCCTGCACTTCGTCCACCTCGAAAGCCTCCACGCATGTGTGCGAAACAAAACATGTGCTTCCGTAGCTCACCACATGCGCAGATCAGAACCCACCATGTAAGATTCTCTGCCAGCATCATTGTGCGTGCAGGAGGTGGTCAAGCATCTCAGCCAAGTCCGACTGCTACATGAAAGCGAAACTGTGGTTTCTGTGAAGGCCCGACTTATCTCTGTGCGCCATTGGAAGGACACCAGAGACCGTGATTGGACCATCCAATCATGTAGCGCCTTGTCAATCTAGTCATCTCGCACTGATAAGGCAAGATTCCTGCCTGAAAAAAGCGCCCTCCTACTGCCACAGCTACCCTCTGAGCGGGTGTACCAACCATGAGAATGCAGCACCGCAAGTTGAAATGGAACGACAAGCACCCAGGGTCAAGTCTCACCTGCGTCCATGCACCGTTGGATGTGCCAGACACTGCAAAACTATGAGCTTGCCACATGTCCCGCCCGCACTTCGTCCACCTTGAAAGCCTCCACGCATGTGTGCGAAACACAATATGCCCAGATCAACCCACCATGTAGGATTCTCTGCCAGCATCATTGTGCGCGCAGGAGGTGGACAAGCATCTCAGCCAAGTCAGATTGCTACATGAAAACGAGACCGTGGTTTCTGTGAAGGCCCGACTTATCTCTGTGCGTCATTGGGAGGACACCAGAGACCGTGATTGGACCATCCAATCATGTAGCGCTTTGTCAATCTAGTCATCTCGCACTGAGGAGGCAAGATTCCTGCCTGAAAAAAGCGCCGTCCTACTGCCACAGCTACCCTATGAGCGGGTGTACCAACCATGAGAATGCGGCACCGCAAGTTGAATCACCTGCGTCCATGCACCGTTGCATGTGCCAGACACTGCAAAACTATGAGCTTGCCACATGTCCCGCCCGCACTTCGTCCACCTTGAAAGCCTCCACGCATGTGTGCGAAACAAAATATGTGCTTCCGTAGATGACAACATGCAGAGATCAGAACCCACCATGTAAGATTCTCTGCCGGCAACCTCTTTTGCGTGCAGGAGGTGGTCAAGCATCTCAGCCAAGTCCGACTGCTACATCAAAGCGAAACTGTGGTTTCTGTGAAGGCCCGACTTATCTCTGTGCGTCATTGGGAGGACACCAGAGACCGTGATTGGACCATCCAATCATGTAGCGCTTTGTCAATCTAGTCATCTCGCACTGAGAAGGCAAGATTCCTGCCTGAAAAAAGCGCCATCCTACTGCCACAACTGCCCTTTGAGCGGGTGTGCCAACCATGAGAATGCGGTACACGGATTTGCGCATACGTTGGCACGACGAGCGCCTCTGTAGGGTGTTTCACCTACGATGTCTCTGCGACTGCAGAGTCAGTTTACAATACGGTTTGCACTTCGTCTAACACGAAGTCCCGCACCGTTGTTGACCACATGCCTGGATTCATCGGATTCTCTGCCGGAACAAATGCAAACCGCAATAAGACCCTCAAACCTCTTGTACTCTGATTCGACCCCTTCTGGAAGGAAGCCCTCAACTTATTCTTGCCAGTCAGCAGCACGAGAAACCTTACAAAAACCCTCTGAAAGCCTCTCAAAAACACCCTGCAAAACCCTTCCACCCCGTGAAATCCTCTTTACCCTAAACCCCAAACCTCTAAACCCTATAAACCCTAACCCTAAACCCCTAAACCCATGCAGGCCAAACCCTCGCCTTGCTATGGAAAAGACTCAAAAAAGCACCGAAGAGACCCTTAGACCCTAAACCCTTGTGGTACCCGTAAAGGAACCCTGAAAGGAACCTTTAAACCCTTAAAGGAACCCTGACAGAAACCTTATAAAACCTAATCCTTAAACCTTAAACCCTAAACCTGAAACCCTAAACCCTCAACCCTATAACCCTAAACCCTACACCCTATAACCCTAAACCCTAAACCCTATGACCCTACAACCCTATAGCCCTAAACCCTAAACCCTCAAACCCTGCAAACC